AGTAGTAGTAGTAGTAGTAGTAGTAGTAGTAGTAGTAGTAGTAGTAGTAGTAGTAGAGAGAGAGAGAGTAGAGAGAGAGAGAGAGAGAGAGAGAGAGAGAGAGAGAGAGAGGGATTTTATTAGAGAGAAAACATTGCAGTTTAGAGAGAGGAGATGAGCAGCCATGTGCTCCCAAGCAATGGAACCATCTTCCTGGTTCGGTCCCTCACTTTCCCCTCGAACCTCAACAGAGCTTCTCCCAAGACCAGTCATGGTCAATTCAACCACCGCCTGAGTTTCTCGGGACGCTTTTCAATCGCAAGAGCGATTTGCAGGACGAACGAGAACGCTGCTGCTATGAGTTTCTATGAGCTTTTAGGAATCCCAGAGACCGGAACCCTAATCGAAATCAAGCAAGCATACAAGCAGATGGCAAGAAAGTATCACCCTGATGTTTCTCCACCCGATCTCGCTGAAGAAAACACACAGATATTCATTCAGGTTCAGGAAGCTTACGAGACTCTCTCTGATCCCAGGACCAGGGCTCTCTATGATAAGGATTTGGCAGGAGGCCTCCATTTGGCTTTCTCTACAAGAAAACGCATGGATCAGGTAAGGCGATCTCCACCATTCTTCGACCATTGTGATCTCTTTTGCAGTAATTTTGTAGTTTCTATCTCTCAAGATGAGTTTTACTGATCTCAATTGTTTATGGAATTAGGGTTTGGAGGAGTTTTACTGATCTCTTTGGTTTATGAAATTAGGGTTTGGAGGAGAGAGAAGAGTGGAGAGGGAGGTGGGAGGATCAATTGGGTGAGCTGAAGAGGAGGAGTATGAGTAAAGACATGAATGGGGGAGGCAACATGTCATGGGGTGCAAGAATGAGAAGGCAAATGAGAGAAGAATCCAAATTGCAGAATGATTGTCTTTGATTTTGATAAAGAGATGGTTTTTACAGCAATTAATTGAGAAAAGGCGACGATGATGAAACAGTTTCTGTACTTTACTTTTCCTCTACATAAACTGTGTGTAGACTGTAGATAATGTACAAAATAAACAACCGAGTATAAAGTTCAAGTAACCTTGCTACGACTCTTTCTTGGGTGTTTTTTCGTATTTCGTTGCTGAACCTCTTAACCAAAAAAAAAAAAAAGTATGAAAGTACTTGTTTCAATCTTATTTTTTCTTCTCTTCCTATTTATTTTTCTTCTCATTGTTAATAGACCCTTAATTGAAACTAGGAAATTTAAAGGAAAAAGTTTACAGAAGTTTGTAACGGAAAAAAATTATATAAAGTTACAACCTTAAAAGTAGAGTTCCATTCCCACCATTAATATCACCTCATTAAAGTTAACTCTTAATCTACTTGAAAAAAAAAAAAACTTTATAATTGATCATCTTGATATCGAGATATAAAAGTATAAGATTTTGATTGCAAGAAATAATGCATCTTGCAACGCATTATGTAGTCTGTCTATTTTCAATATTTTCATATGTTTATAGATCTAATTGATTTTAACTATTTTTGGAGTTTAAAATTTTAGAATTAAATATGGAAATAGATTTTGGAGTTTAAAATTTTAGAATTAAATATGAAAATAGATTTTGAGATAATCTTAAAAAAATTTTATACCAAAATTATGAGTTATAATAAAATTTAAAGGTGATCCTTAATTGGATTGTTTAAGGTTGCAACCTTATAGAAACCACACCTTTTATTAAAAGGGTGATGTTTTATAAGTTGCTTTTATACAAGGAAAGCGCGCCTCTAAATTTTGATGGGAGATGTAGTTTTGGCATTGTAAAATTTATTATGGCTTGAAAATCAATGGTTTGAAAATCAATATTCAACCATAATTATGAAATTTTAAATTTAAAAAATAGTGTACATCGAGTAGATTTGTAAATGTTTTAAAATCCAAAATAGACGGTTTAGATAATTTGTTAGAAGATTCACTATTTTTAATACATTAATGTTTTTTTATTTCTTTATATCCATTCATCTTGAGGTCTTGCCCATCAATCCGAAGGTTTCTATAATACGAGGTTGTAACTTTGTATAAAAGGGTATTTTGAAATTAAATCACAAGATTTGGATGGAATGTTGCATAATTCATCTCTCAAGGGTATTTAGATAAATTCTCCATTAGAACTATTATGCTGTTATTTGTTGTATTGGGGCAAGGAGTGAAAGGCTAATTAATGGGAGTTTTAATAAGTAATTCGTGAACTTGCTTTCAAATTTTATGGTCAATTAATGGGAGTTTTAATTAGTAATTCGTGAACTTGCTTTCAAATTTTATTGTCACTTTCTTCATTAAGCAAAGTCCCTGATATCTTTTACAGAATGAATTAATTTTCCTAGATTGCGATGAACATTAGATGGGGAAAAAGAAAATCGGTGTTTTTTTCCTTTTTTGTTGGGTAATTTAGTGGGGAAGATATGCCCTTATCGTTTTTTCGATAGATGGGGGAGTTACATTTTGAAGGTGTTAATTGAGGGTGTCAATGGCACAAATGGATACCGTGAGGTGGTAATTAGGTGTGGGGATGCTACACCCTAGCCCCTTTCCTAAACCGGTGCTCTTTCACTAACATTATATTCATAATTTACACCCCATTCTACTTCTAACCTAGAATTTACGATGTAACTTGAAGAATTCTCAGATCATAGGAAAATTTATTCAGATGCTGGAGAGCTAGATGAGGAAAGAGTTAACGAATTAAGGTGGTTGGTTCTATTAAACATATTTCGAACATTTTAAGTGCTCCCCTCACGAGTGTGTAGAGGTGGCAATGGACCCAACCAGACCTGAGACCCAACAGGTAGACTTAGCTTAGGGTCCAAGTATGGGTCCAAATTTTTGACCCGAATGCTATTTGGGTTAGGGTCCAGGACTAGCTGGACCCGACCACCCGTACTCGTAGTCATAGGGTATATGAAGGCAATCATGTATCTTTAGACTTGCGCTAGGTGTTCATATTGTCACAAAAAAAAAGAAGCTCGTAGTCATACGGTATATGATTATAAAATAAAAGGTAACCAAAAAAAGAAAAAAAAAGCTCACAGTCATAGAGTGGCAATGGATCCGACCAGACCGAGTCCAAGTCCAAGTCCAAGTCCAAGTCCAGCAAGACCCGACCAGTACTTGACCCGTTGCCACCCCTACGAGTGTGCACCTGAAAACTTCTGTGTTGGCCTTGGTATGGAGATAGAGGGAGCTTCTAGAATTGGATCTTCCTCTTCTTTCATTTCATTTTTCATATCCTTTTGACGCTTTCCTTTTATGAGGATTTCTTGAGCTAATACCAAATGGACATTCTTTTTTTTAGCTTAAATTGTATCATCATGAGAGTCAGCAGGAAAGTTTTTTTTTTTTCTTTATTTTTTGTTTCATCATGAGCGTCGTTGTCTCATCATGAGAATTAGCAGAAAAGCTTTTTTTTTTCTTTTTTTTTAAGTGAGTCAGTGGGGGGGGGAGGGGGGAGGGCTCTTATCCTTGATAGGAATTGTAGTTTTTTTTTTAATGAGTTAGTGAGAAGGAGGGGGGAGGGCTCTTATCCTTGATAGGAATTGAGTTTTTTTTTTTTAATGAGTTAGTGAGAAGAGAGCTCTTACCATTGATAAAAAATAAGCCTAATATGTAGAGTTGTAAATCGTCAAGTGCTAACCAATTAAGCAGGGCTCTTTTCTTAACCGGTAGGAAAGCTTTGTATAAGTAAATCATAAGTAAATACAAATCCCAAATTCTCGCGTTTGCATTTCATTTTCATTTCTTAGCTTTACTTTATTTTCCTCATTGTAACATGCGTAAGACAAAATTCAAAGAGGATTGGGTTATCTTGCAAACATGAACCCTTTTCTTCAATTGAATTGACGCAGGTAGATCCATGGATATATGGCATGCACAATTTTAAATTCAAAGAGGATTGGGTTATCTTGCAAACATGAACCCTTTTCTTCAATTGAATTGACGCAGGTAGATCCATGGATATATGGCATGCACAATTTTATATGTTGGATATTTAACAAAATCGTAGTTTTACCGAGGGTTTTAAAAACACCGATTCAGATTGCAATCACTTTATTTGGACTGGGAATATGTGGGGCTGTCCAATTCCTATCACCTGGCCGGTTCCCAAAGAAACCTTCGGGTTCTTACCACATATAAATAAGTTGCAATAATCTACACTGTTTATTTTATTTAGATGATGTGTATTTTACAATATCTTGAAAGACATGCTACATTTTCACACTTTTTAGAAAAATATATCCATCTTACACTATCAAACTAAAATGGATGATGCAAAATATTACAACCTTAATTCTACAAGTGACATTGCAACCTTATATAAACCACACCCTTACCTAATAATATTAGTTTTCTTTGAGGATCAAGGTGCCTAAGTTGGCTATAATAATTTCTATAATTGTTTGGTAAATGTGCATGAAACAAGTGATTAGGTGTTCATGACTCTCATATCAATTTTGTACCACTAGCAACTATTATCCAAAGGGTGCGGTTCATATAGAGCCGCGGCTCTAAACAATCAAAGTAGAGCTTACCTTTAAATAGTGTTGAGAAATGTGGTTTCAACAATAGAAATCTTTGTGAAAGTCCTAAAATATATTAAAAAAATATACTCATATCCTTTAATTTTTTGTTTCATTTTTTGATAAACCTAAAGTTTCAAAAGATATCTTTTAACCCCCTGACCACTTTAAACCTATTTTTTAACCTAAACAAATGTGAGAAAGACATGCTATTTTTAAACTCAATCCTTTCTCTCTATTCACTTATATACTCCAAACTTCTCTCTTTCTCTCTCTTCCTGAGTCTCTCTGACTCTCTCTCTCCTCCTGTGTTTCTCCAAACACCTCTCTCTCCTCCCGGTAACCTCTCACTTCCATAAAGCCCTTCATTCTCTAGAAGATTGAAGGATGGCTTTTAGCAAAGGCATGTCTTTTTACATTTGTTTGGCCTAAAAAAACAAATTTAAATTAGCTTAAGGGGTTAGAAAAAATAAAATCTACAATTTTTATGCCTTAAGATATCTTTTAAAACTTTGGGTCTATTGTGAAATGACACCTAAAAATACGGGGAATGGAGATATTTTTTCAAATATATTTTCATCTCTAATTATAAAATTTAAATCTTAAAAAATAGTGTAGATCAAGCCAATCTATGAAAACATGAAAATATTGAATATTGATGATCCAAAAATGCATTACAAGATGCATTATTTCCAAATATTAAAATCCATTTTTTTCTCATGTCCTTGCATCTTGATGTCGAGATAATCAATTTGAGGATATTCGGGCATCAAAACAACCTCTTATAGTGAAATTTTTGAGGTGGGCTCTAATTTGATTGTTTAGAGCCTCAGTTTTATATAAACTTTTTCCTTATCCAAATGTAGAGATCGGTGAAAAGTTTATTTTGATGGCCAACAAAGAGAATTAATAAGTGTTGGGTTTATGTGGGCTTTAAAGGCCTTAAGAGATATTGTATAAACATTTGAATAAATGAATCATAAACTCAGTAGGAGTTTGGTCCTCTTGTGGACCATACTAGGTAAATGCAATTTGTCAATACTTGAACTTGGCTTGACGAGGTAGACCAGTTGAGTTGGAAAAACCCAAGGTACTTTGGCATAGAGATATAACCAAGGAGGGTTTAGTGGGTTACCCATTGATGAGGTCGGAGTATGCTTGGATGAAAGCCGAGGGACTATGTAACCCTTGTGTGTGATGAATAGTTTATAAGGGTATGACTACAACCTCATCGTTGTATCATCACACAACATGTACATAGATAGTTGTACTGAGCTAGTAATCTACCATTGATGGTGAAACATGTATATGTACGAGAGATTACCCCTAAGTACTATAACGTCATGGTTGCATCATGGTCTGATGGATTATAGTTTGTCTCTATGGGGGAACTTGAAATCCACAGACTAAGATTATGTCCCCTAGCCCATTAATTGACTTTGGCAGTCCAATCATGAACCTCTGCAGTGGACTGCGGGTCATGGAGGACTGTTGGGTCAGTTTGAAAAAGCTAGTGTGGATCGTGGTCCGTAGTTGAAGG